TCAGCGGCAAAGCGCCTGCCTGGCAAGCGCAAGGTCGTGAGTTCGGTTCCTGGTACCGGAGAAAAACCAAAAAAAAAAAAAAAAAAAAAAAACATTTACTGCAATTTCTAGCAGATAAAGCCACCTACGGTGTGTCCTCGTCCACCTTATTCACCAGCCTTCTTTGGCTCTTTAGTACAGTGAAAATGACCATGAAAGGTTGGGCATGGTGGCACATGCCTCTAATCCCAGCTCTCAGAAGGCTGAGGCAGGAGGAGGATCATGAGTTTGAAGCTGGAGTTCAAGCCTAGCCTGAACTACATAGCAAGACCCTGTTCTCAAAAATACAAGCAAACAAACAAACACCATGAAAGGTAACTTTTTTAATCCATCCAGGACATCAAGGCAGCTAGGACAGCACAACTAAAGACATGAGAGAAAATGTCTAGAGCTACTTCAGAAGGTGGCTAGAACAGAGGGATGGATGTATTTGAAGTCACATGGAGTCTTTCAAAGGGAATCAATGGCAACGTATCTTTTATTGTAATACATTTTTTTTCTCCCTGACATTTGTATATCACACAGTGACCCTTAGGTGAGACTCCATTCTAGTAGGACTATCAAGTAACTTAAATAGTCTGAGGCAACTTAGAGACTGCCTCAAAATGAACCTTCCTTACAGATTGTTTTGGTAAAACTTAGTTCAGATCTCTTGTAAATTGAAGTATAAATTTAAAAAACACAGGTGGCTTTTCCCTTGATCAGACAGGCAGAAGTTTATCTCTAGATGTTGCCTGTGAGATGTTTAGGAAAGACCTGGTAGCCAGGTGGGATCTCAGCCCATTATGAGATCAGGCTCTGTCCACAGCCTGCGAAAATCAAACTGTTCAGTTAACAAGAAACTCTGGAGTGAGTACTTGGGTGTGGACACAGAACCAGGCAATATGAGGCCTGGGAAAAACTAAGGAGGCAGCGTCTGAGGAACCATGGGAGAGGGGGGCCCAGAGAGTCTTTCCCTGGGAACAGTTAAGGTTATCAAGCAAGTAGTTCCACTCAAGAGATCAGGTCAAATGGATAGTGACCCCTGTCTCACAGTACAGGCAAAAGTAAACTCCAAATGGATCAAAGACATAAATGTCAGTGCTAAAACTTTAACACACATAGGGCAAAAGCCTAATGACACTGGATTTGGCAATGCTTTCTTGGATATGATGCCAAAAGCATAACAAGCAATAAAAGAAAAAAAATAGGTGAAATGGACTAGATAAAAAATTTAGATTTCTATGCATCATAGTACATGAGCAACAGAACGCACCTCATCAAATGGGAGAAAATATTTACAAATCATGTATCTTATGAGGCTAATATCGAGAACATATAAAGAACTTCTACAACTCCACAACAAAAAGCTGATTTTTTAAAAAGACGAAAAAATTTGAATAGACCTTGAATAGAAAATATATGAATAAGCAAGAAGGATAGAAGATGTTCCATATCACTAATCTTTATAGAGCTAAAAATCAAAACCACAGTAAGGTGTCACTTTACACCCATTAGAATGGCTACTTTTTTTGTTTTAAAAAAAGGAAACAAAATATTGTCGAGGACAGAGAGAAACTGAAACACTTGTGCTCTGCTGATGAAAATGAGTAGCGACACAGCAACTGTGCAAAACAGCACAGCAGTTCATTACGAAATGAAACACGACATTACCATCGGAGCCATCCTACTGCTAGGTAGATCTGTAAAAGAAATGAAAGCAGGGAATTGAACAGATATTTTTATACCTGTGTGCACAGCAGTATGATTCAAAACAGCCAGTGTCAACGGGAGCTGAAAATTGGTCATATGTATGAGGGGAGGACAGAGTCAGAGTGATTGAAGCAGTCAAGCTACCACAGTGTTGAAAAAACATCCTGCCTGGTCAATTTTGGTCGTTAGTTGCTAGGCAATATTGCCTCTCATGATACTAATTTTGCAAGGGTAAAAATTAACGTCCCTACTATTGTAGTTCATTCCTCTTAGCCCTGGGAGGTAAAGAGGCTACTCCACATGACCCCAGCTTTGTCTCTTGGCTTTATTTTCCTCATACCTGACAGACATCCAGAATCTAAAAATGGTGCTGGCCAGGACACACATTTCTTTGTTCTTCTAACAGACCCCAAGATAAACTTCTTACATGCTCCAACTAACTCCCAATTCCCTCGAGATAGGACATATCACCTGCCCATATTAAATCCACCTCTGGTACAATCTAATAAAAACCTGTTCCCCAGCTCCCTCCTCCCAGGGTCCTTACAATCAATCCTCTGAAACCCTCCCATGCTGGCAATAAAGGCTTGTTTTACTTACCTCTCTCTCTTGCTCTATCTGGTGCCAAACCTAACAATACCCACTGCAATTACTCCCTAGGGTACACTGACAGAACAAGTTTCCTACAAGCCAGAAGGTAGAAGCATCCAACTGTCCACTGACAGATGAAGAAACAAAATATGGTATGTGCATACAAGGAAATATTATTTAGCCTTCAAACGGAAAAAATGACACATAGTGCAAGGTGGATAAACCTGGAGGACATCAGGCTAGGCAAAAAGAGCTAGACACAAAAAGACAAATACAGTATGATTCTGGTTATATGAGGTACCTTGGAAGAGTCAAATGCACAGAGACAAAAAGTAGAACAGTGACTGAATGGGCTGGTACTGGGTCGGGGGGAGCTAGTACTTAATGGGTACAGTTTTGGTTTGGAAGACGAAAACAGTTGTGTACATGGATGGTGGTGATAGTTGCACAGCATTAAATATGAACTTAATACATCAGCCCTCCTCAGTCTTGGAACCCAGTCCCATTCCCGGAGCAGGAATGCTAGAGGATATCAAGGAGACCACTCATGATCCTTGAGGGATTTATGTTTTCAGTGGGGCAATGGAACAAATGATGGCTCATGTATTTTTAAGCAAACTTTTTTGAGTGCTCCAACTCGAAGTGACCCACACTGGTGGGTTGGGACCGACTGGGAGATGGCCTCTCAGGGCTGCACGGAAGGAGCACCCTGTTTCCAGGGGTCAATCCAGGGTGCTGGTGTAACTTCACCCTCCAGGTCACAAGAGCAGGAGCTGTCACCACAGCCAGCAGCCAGCCCTTACCGGGACATGAAGAAATGCTTTGGCTTCTGCCTTCTTCATGGTATTTCCTTCCAGGGGGAGGCGCTCGATCTTCCCAGTCTGGGCAAAGAGTAAGTGGGTCCCAGGAGGCAGGGGGATCACAGAGGTAGGCAACGCGGGTCGCTGGGGAACCATGGGGGCCACTGTACTCAGACCTGGGGGATAGCAGAGGCCAGTGATCGCAGGCTATGCAAACCAGAAACACAGATACACACACGAATGGTCTCATAAATGCAAACACACATACATACGCACACATAAAGACATATATGTGTGCTACATACAAAACCACATGGGCACATGTACACAACCACACATATATCCATCCACATTGTGGGTCGTGTCACCTTTATAGCACCACAAACCAAAAAGCCACACATGTTCCACCTGAAAGGCCAACAGTCAATCAAAGGGCTTCTGTGAAGAAGACAAGGCAGGGCATGAATTTAGCAGTAACGGTCCAGTGAAAGGCATGCTTTAGCCTCTATCTTCTGGGGCAGACTTTGTCATTCATGCTCTTTCAATGGCAGCTCTGCAGTCCCTGCCCCAGGAGAACTGTGTTCTAGTGGTGCCATTGAGCTTGTCATTGCTGCAGGAGCCCATCGTATGACACAAGGGCGTCCTGCACAGCCTGTTCCAGGCTGGGGGGTGGGACAGCCTCACAGCTGGACCAGAAACATGTCCCTTCTGGGCTCTCAGGATCAACAAGCTGGCTGGAGCCCCTAAACCCTCTCCTCTGACCCCGCTGCTCCTGGCGTCCCAGGAGAGGATGGACAATGTGCTGTAGGACACGAGCTAACACACTGTGCACAGAAGACACATGCATTCCTGGGCTTTGTATTCTGCTCCTAAAATGACAGCTGGATGAGGTCACTCCAAGGTTGGTTCTCTGGTCTTGCCTAATATGCCCAGGCAGTGACACACACCAGGCGGGTTGTCCTCTTTACTGTGGGACTCCCCTTGTCCTGCTCCCCTTGCACGCTGGGGCTCTCACCCACATCCACTGTGACTTCTGTCACGCACCTGGGTGCTTCTAAACCTCCAACTGGCTTCACACTGGTACCTATCAATCCCTTTCTGGACTTCTAGTGCTTGTCAATGCTCCCTGACCAACAGCTTTCCGCTCAGCCTGGCATTTGATGCCCTCCTGTCCCTCACATCCAACACAGAACCCCGCAGCTCCTTCCTTCCTCTTAGTCAATGCCTGCTACCCCTCGCGGCCCTGCACAGCTTTGAGGTTCCTGTTGTGTTTCCAAAGGCCTCCCTGTGAGCCACTACTCTTGCAAGCTGAGTTCTTCTGTGGCTTCCTGATCGCCACCCACTGCACCCCAGAGCTCCTTTCCCTACACTTTTCCTCTCTGTTCCCGTCTCTCAGGGTTGCTGTGGGGCCAAATCCATGGCATTCCTCTGGAATCCCCAACACCCACACCAAATTAAGTGAGTTAGTGCTGCTTGGGAGTCACCTGTGCCGCTCATTAGCAGCTTTGGGAAATGTCTGGTAGAAGCTCTATAGCTGTGGTTATTAGCTAAACTGAGAAGGGAGGCTCAAAAGTTAGTTCTATCAGATTAGTTTATGACAATGATCGACTTCTCCATTTGTGACAGAAGCAGAATGAGTTCTACCAGGTTAGCTTGTAACAACGATTGACTTCTACATTTGTGACAGAAGCAGAATTTTACAAGGGGGTAACATCCTCAGGATTATTCTTTTCATCTCTCGCATTGAAGCTGAGGAAGCTGACACAGTAGAGGGAATCTGCATGGAGTCCCAGAGCCTTGCTGGGCCTCAGACAGGGCCCATCATAGAACTACTCTACAACAGGGCAGCCTTGAACTGGCTGCAGAAACCATGGGGCTGTTTGCTCCCTGAGGTCACAACTTGTCCTGGCATCTGAAGTGCTAGGGCACAGCGGTGAAGGAGGCAGGTGCTGAAAGATGTAATGTCCCTGAGTAAGCATGGCTTTGGAGAGGGGCCAGAGGTCCCCCAGTCTTGCCCTGTCCCCTCACCCAAGTTCAGGCCTCCCACACACATCCTCTCTGCCCATCTCACATCAATGCCATGTGTTCCACTGGGCATCTACAAAGAACCTATGTGTGCATGCGAGTCTGGGGTGCGGAAGGGACAAGGAAGTGAGCAGGGGAACTCTGCACCCGCCGTGTTGGGCCCCGGCTCTCCCACCTGCTGTCTACTTACACGGGGGCTGCAGCCCAGCCCTGGTCCTGGTGCCCTCCAGCTCACGGCCGTCACGGTCCACACACCAGCAGTAGCCAGTGCTGCCATGGCACTGGGTGGGCGCATAGTGTCCATGCTCGTCACACTCAGGGACAAAGAGGCCCGGTGGCCTGGGCCGCTGTGTGTCTGCGGCCCCCACTGCACCAAGAATGTGTTCGCGCTCCTGCTGGCACCGGGTCTTCTCCACCTCTGTCAGAGACAAGGAAGAGAGCCATCAGCCGGGTTGGATGTCCTTGTGTACCGGGGGGCCGTGACTCAGACCACAAGGGCACTTGTCTGTCACTGGATTTAGTGTTACTAACTTTTAAACATTTAAAACATCAGTATGATTTAATGATCCTAAGTGTCAAGATTACATTATCTTTATTCTCCCCAAGTTTTGAAATAATTTTTAAAAATCAAGGCAAAACATAAAAAGAACCATTTTAAAGTGAAAAATTCAAAGCATAGTACATTCACAGTGCTGTGCCATCTAGTTCTGAAATATTTCCATCACCCCAAAAGGAAACCCTGAACTCAGAGAGCAGCTGCTCATGGTTTTTTGGGTTTTATTTTGTTTTCGGATGCACTACTGGGCACTGAACCTAGGAGCATTGCAGTAACGTACATCTCCAACTTTCTTTTTTTCAGATAGCGTCTTACAAAGTTGTTAAATTGGCCAGGCTCTAATTTATAATGCTCCGACCTCAGTCTCCCCGAGAGTCAGGATTACAGGTGTGTACCACAACGCCTGGCTCACAAGCAATTTGAAATTTTCCGCATATGCATCTTTTTCATTCTCTCATGCTCTTTGCTGACTGACACTGTGTCGAGGGCAAATAGTCTGGAGATCAAAAAGCAGAGCGTTCACCAACGCTTGTGTTTTCCTTTAATTATTTGGCAAGAAACTGGGCTTCTCAGCCATGCAACCCAAGTCCCAAAGCCAATGCTCCTACATAAGAAGCCGTGCATGGCCTGGAATACGTGGTTCCCAAACACCCAGCTTTGCAGCTGGTTTTACACTCACTGGAGCCCAGGCCCAGGTGGTCGCCTCTGTAGCGGGGCCACACACAGAGAGGCACTGACACCGGATGAAGTCCATTAACCTGGTCACTGACTGCCAAGAGCTACAATTATGTCTTGCTGCCTGTCCCTTCCAGGCTGCTCACGTGCTATCTGTGTCCCTCCCCTCTTTCCCTGGCCAGTCCTTCAAGAATCAACCAGGGCCTAGTGCTCCTGTGTGAGCCCTTGGGTGCCCAGATCACCAGCACTCCAGACTCCAAAGAGCTGTTCCCCAAGAGCATACAAGGGCAGTGATGGACTTTCCCCAACCTGGCACACAGCCTGGGGGCGAGGGAGAACAGGTATTCCCGTCCTTCACATCAGAGCAGAGGGGCCAGGGCACATCAGCCACACAGGAAGACCTTCTTCTCCACAGGGCAGAGTCACAGGAGGCCTGCCCGCATGTTTCTCTTCTGTTATCCCTGTGGTGCTGAGAATCAAACCCAGGACCTTGAGCATGCCAGGCAAGTGCTCTGCCATGAAGCCAAACCTCTTGCATGCCCTGTTTTGATGACTGCAGGACCACGGTTAAGACGCTCTAGGGCAGGGCTCAGCCAGCTTTGCCGAGTAAATACTCTCTGCTTTGTCGACATACACTCTTTGTCACAACTACCCAAATCCATGGCCGTGGTGCGAAAGCAATCATATGCCCCCCACCTCCCACCCTGGAGACTAAATCCATGGGTGCTCTACCACTGAGCTAAATTCCCAACCCTTTTCATTTATTTTGAGACAGGGTCCTGCTAAATCGTCCAGGCTAGGCTCAAACTTGCAATCCTCTTGTCTTAGCCTCATGAGTAGCTGGAATTACATTTGCGTGCCACGTTCCCAGCTGCAACATTCCTAATCATTTAATACACAAATGTACCAGCTCCACACAAGGAATGTAAACATCACATACTGCAAACTTGTACAGAAAAAAAAATGAAGGGGACCAAAGGATAGGGGGAAGGGGAAGAGAAGGAAGGGAAAGAAGATGAAAAAAAAGAAATTAAGATTAAGATGTACAATGCACATGTACCAATTCTGCACAAGGATAAACACTATTACTATATAAATAAACTAAGATAAAAAATAAAATAGAAAATGCACAAAAAGTAAATAAATGTGCATGTGTTCTGTGCTAACTTTATGAAGGAAGGAAGGAAGGAAGGAAGGAAGGAAGGAAGGAAGGAAGGAAGGAAGGAAAGAAAAAGAGAAAGAAAAGAAAAGAAAAGGAAAGAAAGAAAGAAAGAAAGAAAGAAAAAAAGAAAGAAAGGTTGTATGTAATAGTACATGCCTAGAGTCCCAGCACTCTGGGAGACTGAGGCAGGAGGATCTCAAGTCTGACCCAGCCTGGAACTTAGTGACTTACCAAGACCATGTCTCAAAACACAAAATGAAAAAGAACTAGGAAAGCATGTCAGTACACAGGCCTTAGTTCTACCACAGAAAGAAGAAGAAAACAATAACAACACAACAAGGGGCCAGATTTGACTGATTGGGATGGTAGCTGCAAGCTCATGCCCTAGGACATTACTCATTACATAAGGGTGAAAAAAAGTGTGTGTATTAGTAAAACATTGTAAAAGCCGGGAGAGATTGTGCAGTCACAGACCTTTGTGTCTGAAAGGTTTGCTTCCAGGTGGCATCGTGCAGTGCCGTGGGGGTGTTCACGGTGCTGCCCAGCCCCCACCTTCAGCTGAAGAACAGAAGGCAAAAGCAACCCAACTCCTAGGTTTACACTGTGGAGTGAGAGGCAGTGACAAATGTTTGAACGTGTTCCCCAGTGTTCACTTGTCCGGACTCAATCCCCAATGCAACTGAGAGACGAGACCTTTAAGAGGTAGATGGGTTGCTACGGTTCTGTCTGGAGGAATGCACTACTGCTTCCCTGTCTCTCCCCCTGGTGATTCCTCTTGCCAGGTTACAGGGCAGCCCTCAAGAGTCCATCTTAGATTTCTCAGCCTCCAGAACTGTGAGCAAAACAAATATCTGTTTCATATAAATTACCTAGCACATGGTGTTCTGTCGGAGCAGCAGAAAATGGGCCAAGGCAACACACACAGATGGAACATGAAGCCTTGCACCCAAACGTTCACATGTGACTACCTATGAAGGCAGCTCCGGGGACATGTGTGCTGCCAGCAAATGCTTAAAGCACCTTTTGTCCATGTTGCCAATCTTCTTGCTGGCCTGACTGCTGGCTTAACAGAACTGCTCCCTTGATTAGAGGCAGTCAGTACACCAGAAAAGGGTTTGTTGCAACTGGCAAGAAAAAACTGTGTATACTTTTCTTCTGTCCCAGGGCTCATGTAAAGAACAAAATATCTGAGGTAGAAAGAGCCAAAGATACTAACAAGCCATTTAGTTAGAATAAAAATGTTGGGTTTTGTACACCCCTAGATATAAAATTTCTCTACTTCCTCAAATCTTTCCATTTATGCTGGGTTTTAGTTTCCATGTTAGCTGTCCTCATTCACATATATTTTATTTAATTCCTCTTATAGTCTTATGTGAAAAGCAACAGGTTTTTATATTAAATGAGAAAACCCAAGCTCGAAGCATTGGTGAAGGATCTCCCCCAGGGCCACAGCATGTTAAGTAGCTCAGCTCGAACTGGAATCTGGGTCTCTGGATTCCTGGTCCAGTTCCCAGGACACTTACATGTATTGAACATGTTATGTCATCTATGATATATACATTAAATAATTAAAAAAGAGCTGGGGGTGCAGCTGAGTGCAAAGGCCCTGGGTTTCAATTCTCAATGCCACAAAAACAAAATAAAACAAAAAACCCTCAGTGATCTGGAATTAACAGTGAAACTTTTTAAGTGCTGTATCTTGAGTTTATGAGAAGGGAAACCTCAATTCCAACTCAGGAAACTGCATTTCAAGTGTGTTTACACAAAGCTGTGACCTCAGTGGGGCTCCTGGGATGTTGCTCAGCTGGTCAGCAGGCAGTGAAGGCCCCTGCTGAGGCCCCCAGGGCCCAGGGATTGTCCAGCGAGGGCCCCTGGATGGGTAGACAGTGGGGTCATGGAGACTGTTTCCTGGACTTGTGTGTGGCTGGGAAAGTGCTGACCGAGACAGGCTGCTTCTTGTCCATCCAGCCTGAAAGGCTTTGGGACGCGACTCTCAGGCTGATACTCATCAGAGGAAGGACCCAAGGATTGTCCAGCGAGGGCCCCTTGGATGGGTGCTCAGTGGGGTCACGAAGACTATTTCCTGGGCTTGTATTTGGCTGGGAAAGTGCTGACCGAGGCAGGCTGCTTCCTGTCCATCTGGCCTGAAAGACTCTGGGACGCAACTCTCAGGCTGATATTCATCAGAGGAAGGTGAATTAGAAAAGCTGCTTATCCACCTCCACCAGGGACTTGCATGACACGTAAGCTGACACATCTCCAGTGTCCCCAGTGCACAGGCAACCTGAGTACAGTAGCTGCCTGGTGGAAGGCCAGGGAGAATAGGAGACCCAGAAATTCTGGGTACAGGTGGACCTGGTTGACGTGCTACTCTGAGGAGCAGGTTAGACGAGACTGGGAGGAGGAGCCCCGAGGCTCAGTGATACTGCAGCTCAGTGATTTGGAAACAAGGCCACCCAAGAGCTCAAGGGTTGAGAGATGATGGTCCAGGGCCACTGGCATGAAGCCTGGGACGCTGTCAAATTTATGGGCCGGCTAGGGTCTCCCACAGTGCGATCTCATCACCTGCTCCTTGGCAATCCCTCCTGTCCTCAAACGCAGAGTGCAAAGCCTCCTGGTGCTCACTTTCCCCGCTAGTGCCTTGGGTCTCTGCTCTGAGCCTCTACGCACCACTCACACATTCACCATTTCCTCCTCCTTACAATGCAGGCTCCTCCTGGGCAGAGACGTGGTCCATGTGTAGCGGATGCTTAAGAATTATTTAGCTATGCTACTACTTATGCTACTAGTTAGCTGGGTACCCTGGACAAATTAGCTAGTGTCTCTAAACACCCATATCTTACCCACTCAGAGGGGCTAACTGTACCAGCAGTGATACATACCAGCTGGTGAGGCTGAAACCCCAAAGCTGTGGCAAAGTATTTCAAGAGGGAAGGAGAAACCAACAGTGAGGGTTGTCTCTGCATTTATACAAGCAGTTTGGAGGGGAGGGGCCTTAGGGGCAAAGGCCTGAGTACAGCAGTCT